AGTAATACAGTGAGATAGTATTTTGGCTACGGGACACCAGTAGCACACATATCTTCGTGTAGGGAGTCGGCAGTCCGAAACCCAAGTACAAGGTGTCTCCTTCGTGCCAAAGAACTGCATGGCTGTTGGGTGAACAGTCGTTAACGAAGGCAGTCAGGTCGTTGTTGGGGCAACGCTTGCTGGTGGATGTAATGTCCTAAATCCCTCCCCAGCTAATTGTAGGGTAGTGCTGGGGTGACAGTTTATTAACCCTTACATAATGCTTCAGGTCCAAATGAACACTAGGCACTGCCACTGTTTTGAGCCGAGGCAAAAAATTTGTGCTTCTGCCAGACTGTGGCCGTTGCTTTTTTGCTCCATTTGTAGACTGGAAGTATATAGTTTCGTTACCCAGCTTCTGAGTTGAGTGCATGGCGTGACATTGTGAGCTGCGGATATCATTTGGAATGTTTTTCGACTGACCAACGTGGTGGTGTGATTTGTAGATTCAGAAAATTGCGCGATGCCGGTTGTCGCAATTTTTCTGATTAAAATTGATCGCGTGTGCAACTGCTGATCTTTTGGTGACTTCTGCTACCATCAATGATGAACTGCATTTCTAACGTCAGACTGTTTGTGTTAGCACTTCTGATGGCTACCATATGCTTTTAATGCGAGTGTATGCTAGATTTGCTGAGACAGCAGTTTGTCAGTCTTTCCATAAGGGACTGTGATAAACATTCTGTGTGTTTTTCGTTGGCACAGAAGCCGAGCAAAGATAGGCATTTGCTGTGTGTTTATGGTCTTAGGTTAGTTCAGTAGTACTTGAAGCGTCTCGGAAATTTAGAGAACAGTGTCTTGTTCAGCGCAGGCTATAACTTGTATTAGTTCAGGTGTAAAAGCGGCGAACTTAAATCTTAAAGACAACGCCTCTAAGCAGGGCATGTCAAACTGGTCCCCGTCAGACAGGCTGGGTGAGAGGTCATGGGCATAGAGAGCATAACCGTTCTTATAATATCTGTATTCAGTATAATTACCGGCATCTTTAACCACCAGTCCCATAGCCAACATCCACAAAAGTTTCATTGACGTAGTCATTATTTTCTTAGTCTGGTGTTAACGGTTTACTGGATACACTACTACCGTCTACACTCACGTTCAGGTACGTCAACCCAGTGTTGGAAATTGAAGGGGTTAGTCTTGTAGGATCAGTTAAAGGCTACAGAGTTAATCAGTCCAATAACTAGTCTGGTGGGTGTCTCAGAAGGAAATTGTCTTGGGTGTGCAAAGATATTTGTTTGGGTGCCCTCACGAGCATAGAGGAGCTTTATAGGTACCCTGTTCCCATGAGGTGGTTCCTCACGCTAACAAAGGAGGAACACATGGTGATTTTCAAGAAGTTGCACAACGTGCAAAAGACCATAGAAGGTGTCGACATGCGTCTAGAAAAAGTGGATAGGGAAAGGACCAAAATCTGTCTATACTGGTTGCCGATCACCACGACTGAGAGTAGCAAAGATAATAGCCTCAGAGATAACCGGCGATGATACACCGAGGTGTATCAAGCATGATACCGTAGAGACATATGGTACACCCTAGTGAGGGAAACGGAATCGATCCCTCACTACGTTAACATGAAAAACCAGGAACTTCCTAGAGGTCAACACTAGCTTTGGATCACAGTTCCAGGCCGGCAGACAAACTGTCCTCAAGGCCACCAGAACAATCCCTAGACCAACAAGTGCCCAACAAAGAGAAGACGCCCCGTAACTGGTGCCAGGACAATCCCTAGACCAACAAGTGCCCAAAAAAGAGAAGACGCCCCGTAAACGGTGCCAGGACAATCACTAGACCAACAAGTGCCCAACAAAGAGAAGATGCCCCGTAACCGGTGCTAGGACAATCACTAGACCAACAAGTGCCCAACAAAGAGAAGACGTCCCATAACCGGTGCCAGGACAATCACTAGACCAACAAGTGCTAAACAAAGAGAAGAAGCCCCGTGACCGGTACCACGACAATCACTAGACCAACAAGTGCCCAACAAAGATAAGATGCCCCGTGATCGGTGCCAATATATATATATATAATTTTTTTTATTTAAACATTCCTCTTCTTTGTCCAAGGGAGAGGTCCAATAATGTCGACCGCTGCTCTGTGGAAGGGCTTGTGCATAATAGGCAAGAATCCCAATGCTATCCGCCGGTTCAAGTGTCTCTAAGAAAATCATTGACACTCTAGAAGGTACATACATATCTCTTAATGTTTCTGGTCATTTCTGGCTAGTAATAATGGCATGACATTATCTGGGAGGTTCCGAAATCACTATATATATGGCCATACATTTCTCGCTCTATTCCTGCACCTATATTTATTTAAAGTGTGAATTTTTTCTACCCTGAAATATGTGGTTAACTCTCGCAGAACTGAAGGGTTCCATTTAGTTTGTCACATCACCAACCAGTCTCAGCTGTCTTACTTCATATCATCCAGTCTGTTACACCATCCAGTCCCAGCTACCGTAGTTTACACATCCAGTTCCAGCTGTCGTACTTTACACATCCAGAACCAGCTGTCTTATTTTACACCAGCAGTACCAGCTGTTTTACTTAACACCAGCCAGTTCCAGCTGTCTAATTTCATACCATCCAGTCTTACCTGTCTTACTTCCCACTATCCAGTCTCAGCTTTCTTACTTTACACCAACAAGTCCCAGATTTCATACTTCACATCATCTTGTCCCACTTAACACCATCTAGTCCAAGCTGTTACTTTACACCATCTTGTACCAGCTGCCATTCTTCACATCATCTTGTTCCACTTAACACCATCTTGTCCCAGCTGTTACTTCACACTATCTTGTCCCAGCTGTCATTCTTCACATCATCTTGTTCCACTTAACAACATCTTGTCCCATTTTATACCATCCAGTCCCAGTTTTCAAACTTCACACCATCTTGTCCCAGCTGTTACTTCATACTATCTTGTCCCAGCTGTCTTCTTCATTTCATCTTGTCCCACTTAAAACCATCATGTCCCAGCTGTTACTTCACACTATCCTGTCCCAGTTGTCTTACTTCAAACCATCTTGGACCAGCTGTTTTACTGTACGCCATCCTGTTCAAGCTGTTTTACTTTGCACATCCAGTACCAGCTGTCTTATTTTACAACAGCAAGTCCCAGCTGTCGAACTTCATACCATCCAGTTTTACCAGTCTTTCTTCCCACTATCCAGTCCCAGCTTGCTTAATTTACACCAAATAGTCCTAGTTTTCATACTTCACATCATCTTGTCCCACTTAACACAATCTTGTCGCAGCTGTTACTTTACACTATCTTGTCCCAACTGTCATTCTTCAAATTATCTTGTTCCACTTTACACTGTCTTGTCCCACTTAACACCATCTTATCCCAGCTGTTACTACACACTGTCTTGTCCCAGCTGTCATTCTTCACATCATCTTGTTCCACTTAACACCATCTTGACCCATTTTATACCATCCAGTCCCAGTTTTCATACTTCACATCATCTTGTCCCAGCTGTTATTTCACACCATCTTGTCCCATCTGTCATTCTTCACAGCATCTTGTCCCACTTCACACCTTGTCCCACTTCATACCATCATGTCCCAGTTGTTTCTTCACACCATCTTGTACCAGCTGTTTTACTGTACACCATCCTGTCCACGACGTTTTACTTCACGTCATCCTGTCCCAGTGTCATATTCACACAATTCTGACCAATCTGTTTTACTTTACACCATCCCATCCCAGTTATCTTACTTCAAGCCACCCTGTCCCAGCTGTTTTACTTCACATTACTCTGTCCCAGTTGTCTTACTACACACCATCTTGTTCCAGCTGTTTTACTTCATACCGACCTGTCCCAGTTGTTACTTCACACCATCCTGTCCCAGTTGTATCACTTCATATCACCCTGCCCCACCTATTGCTTCACCTCACCTTTTCCTGTGTCTCACAAGCGTTACATCACTGCCCCCCCCCCCCCTCTCCCTTTTTCTCCAAATCCTTCCTGTCTTAGTTTTGTTACTACTATTCCCACTCCCTCACCTTTCCATTAAAGCTGTCTTGCCCCCTCCCCCATTTTCCAGCTGTTACTTTACCTCACAATTACACCTCATTTGTTACTTAACCTCTCCATCACACCTTAGCTGTACTTCACCTCTCCATCACACCTCAGCTGTTACTTCACTTCTCCATCAAAACTCAGCTGTGTTGCATCACCTCTCCATCACACCTCAGCAGTGTTGCTTCACCTCTCCATCACACCTCAGCTGTGTTGCATCACCTCTCCATCACACCTCAGCTGTGATGCTTCAACTCTCCATGCTGCCTTGGTTGTCTTGCTTCCTGTGTGTATACTACATGATGAAGAAGATCTGTGGCATTTAGTGGATTTACTTACTGTTCACGGTGAGAAACTAGGCTTAAACTGTAAGAAAAAGTAACTTATGGTCAGACCAAGAAGAAAGAAACATGAAAGTTTGGAATACATGCGAACAGTAAAATTCTTCAGGAATTCATAGATATAAGTATTTAGAAACAGTCATAACATCAATGGCAAAATGCCTTGCAGAAATTTAAAAAAGGAATCGCTGTGGCAAAAGTGGTCTTTAACAAGAGACAAAAGATTCTGAGCAATAAGAAAATATCTGCAGTGAGAATGTTAACGTGTTAGTAATGACACAAGCAAGTATCACATATCGAGGACCCTACCAACAACTTATTCTAATTATGATAACAAATATTTTGAAGTAATCTATCGCTGCATTTTGAGTATTTTTACGACAATGTTTTCCCATTGTGAACTTCAATAATTCAGGAAACAAACCATATACTACGCAATTTATTGCCTGCTATATATTGTATATCTTATCAGGCCCAATATTACACTTTACATCAGCATATTCCAGATGTGTATTTAATGTTACTATCCTAGAGAATCCTGTAAGAGGACCACATAAAATTAGAGAATGATGAATATTAATTCACATTAATTCTCAGACAACATTATTCTTATATGTATTATTAAACATTTCCTCTGATATGTTCCAAATGTACAGCATCTTAGCCTCTGATGTTATCCCTTCAGAAACAATGACACGCCAGCGAGCTCGAAGTCTTACTATGGAAAACATTGAAAGCTTTCTATGTTTTATATAAAACTCTGCACCCAACTTAGTTTCAATCAGGAAAAAGTCCAGTACCTCTTTCAGTTTTGTATTGCTAAGATGCCTCTGTAATGGATAAGAATGTAGTAACTGCTGTGCCTGCTCTTTAGTAACACTGAGACGGAATTGAATGTATGCTGTCTGATCATAACATCCTTCAAGAGCTTTCTTTTCTGCACACAGTTTTTTAAATGTCCAGTCAAACTGGTCATTTCTACACTCTAAATAATGAGCAAGATTTTCAAGAGTCACTACAGAGTTCTCACTCAAAAAAGAATGATCTCTAAATTGCTGCAAACGTCTCTTCAACTCTGTGGCAGAAGTCTGATACAAGAGTCTAGGATTTGCTGACATAAATGAATATGGTAGTCCATAAAACAACATTATGTTAATCTTTTCTTTGATCAACTCTGGAGAAAGATGGGTGAAAAAACTGTATTTGCTGACTAGCACTTGCATGTCATTAACGCTACAATGTAACAGTTTCGCTAGCGATTTTAGCTGTATCCCAGAGTACATGTACATCTTCTCAGTACCCATAGCATTGTTATGTTTTGTTACTGTTCCTTCAACTTTTTCATCACTAATGGCTCTTAAAGTCAAGTTCCTGTTACTATGCGTTGCTTGTGTTACATAACTTTTAGGCAGAATTTTTATTTCTTTGTCCTCATTCGTGCAGAATCTGAATAAACAGGTGAATACAGGTGCTGTAGTAACCAAATAAAAATTTAAATAATGTTGAGGATACCCAAATGGTGATACATTTTGCCTCCCAATAAAAATGTGTGTGAACCATTTCATGGTAACTTTCTAGCAAACTCAAATGTTCTTGATTAAAAAAATAAAATAGCATGTATTTGTAAGTGTGACTCTCATAAATGCACATGCAGTGCTTCAAAACCTATAACAACAAAATCTCAATTATTATCTCCTCAAGTAATAATGTTCTCCACTACTAAACTGACAATTTGTCTGTTCCCAGCCTCCTGCATCTATCCTTCCCATCTTTAGTCACAATTACTTTGAAGTGATGATGATTTGACACCTTACAGCAGCTTGAGGTCAACAAGTTTACTATGGAATCTGGGGAAACAAAATACAGATGAAACATTGGTACTTGAACATGGCACTTGTGCTATTTCAACTATTCAAACAGTGATATCAAATGTGGTGAAAACAATAATAGACAAACTGCCTCCCCAACAAGCATGTCATAGGAGTTGACTAGTTGCTTCCTTCAAAGTTGGAGTTCGTCTGCCTGAGGGGGAAGGAACAACCAACTGCATACGAATAAGCCAGTAAAACGGATGTGCACACAAAACTCAGGCCCTGGCACAAAGCCAAAGTTCAAATGGATGAACAACCAAGACTTTCTGTCTGCAGCTTACAGCTGGTGAGCAAAAAAGAAGAAGAAAGAGTATAGAACATCAAATGCTAACATGTTGCCATAAAAATTAATAATGAAGTTGGTTAACAGCACTTAATCAAAGAAAGGTGTGTGGCAGAGATGTATCCAAACTGTTTATAGTAAACTTTATAGTAAAAATATGAGACATGTAAAAGTCATAATATAAATCACCACTGGGCATAACATCAACATAATGTTATCCAGATAATACAGTACTGATTTCAGACTCTGAAAGAGATTAATATGTAATAGATATTATTACTGTTACAAAACTTGACTGAGAAAAAGTAAGTGAAAGACAAAGAGATACACATCTAGGATGCTTTATTACATAAGTAAGGCAAGAACTTAAGCCTGAAACAAAATGTTTATCTTTAGAAGATGGCAATCCTTACAAATCTACAATTATTGGTATGGTAAATGATGATGCTGACTGTAAAGACTAAGCAACATTGGTTAAGATTAAATTGAAAGAAAAGAAAAAAAATGATTGTCGTCTCCATGAGAAACACTACAAAGCAACATTAAAGTACATGGGGAAATATGAAATAGTTTCAACTACCTTGAACAGAAAGATCTGAACATCAAGAAAGACTGGCTAATAATCAGCATCCTGTCTTGGAAGCTGAAATATTTTAGTTATATCGAGCGCCACGAAGGACTGGAAAAAATTATAGCAGAAGGCATGGTACCAGGAAGAAGGGGCAGGGGCCGACCAACACGAAGATGGGCACAGGATATAAGTTACTCCTTGAGTGTGAAAGTTCATGAGGCGGGAGAACTGGCGAGAGACCGAGTTTTTTTGTCAGGCAGACTGTGATGAGAGTGACATTCTGCAAAAGTCCTGCTACATGATGATGACCTTGAGTAGTCATAACATCAGATACTAGATACAGTGTACACTTACAAAACTAAATGTTGTTATGGTCTTATAGCCTATATCAATGAAGGGGAGCTGAGTAGTATCGAGGCATGGCTTCTGCCTTGACTGCTGGAGGTCCCGGGTTTAAGCCCCAGTGAAGGCTGGGATTTTTTTATGTGGGCTTATAGTAATTTCCCCTGGTCTCAGGGTAGTAAGATCAAATGTCCACTTGTATTGTGCATACACAAAAATCCCTTGGCAGTTGGAATCGAAAAGAATAGCCTAATGGCGCTGATCGGGGAAAAATTTACACAAAGAATTAATGGATCCTCACAAGTGCTACAGAGTTTATGCACTGTGCTGAGATTCTTAGGACTTAGGCTTGAGTTAGAAGTAGAACGGAGCACTTATGGGTTACTACCCTTGTGCCATGATGCTGATCTGTTGTACAAACCAAACCACAAATAAAGAAACTGTTCATTACATCAAGAAACACAGTGTTGAAGTGTGTAGATCTTATACTGCTGAATACCTCTGAAATATGAATAACAGCAAAATAGATAAGCTGAGAAATATATGAAGGGAGCAGAAATGTGTGTCAGAGGAAAAGCAATTAATAATATAGAATTAATGAAGGGTGATGAAAACAATACTCAAGGAGATCTGGATGTTACAGATGCAGGTGACAGGCTAACTGTCAATGATGAAGGACTGGGGGAAAGCCTGCTGGGTAACCCAGCCCTGAGCACCTGCCTCTCAGTGCCCAGTAATATGATTCAGCTTGCCTGCTGGAACATCAGGGCGGTGTGTGAAGCAGGCAGAAATGTTGTAAGAGAGGTAAAAAGGGCCTAGATTTTAAACATCATAATCAAAACAATTGCAAATAGAATGGAATGGTGGAATCATCTATGTGTCATGACACATATAAAAGACAACAGGGGAATGGTTGAAAATGAAATCTGAAATCTTCAACACTCATGTCTTATACATAAAAATTATTACAAATAAAAAAAAAAACTTCATCATCTATCGACATGTGCACGATTATACCAGCTCATTACTATAAGCAGACAGCCTGTAATGGTAACATTTAAAGAAAAATCATAACCTATATGCCAACTGACCTGGAAGTTAACATTTATAGTTTCGTTAAATACATTTTTACACCAGAGGTACATTGGGCATAGGTTACTAGACTCATATTTTAATAGTCCAATTAACATTCATTGATGTAGTCAACATCATGCTGGCCACACTTACTACCCAGGGTATCTATTTCCCGGGAAGCCACCATAGGCTGAGTCAATTTTGTTTTTAAATCTGACAACATGCAGAATATAGTCAAGACCTTAAGAATGGCAGGTGAGTGTCGAACCGCAATGTTACTGCAGCTCTCATGTTTATTTTTATGTTTTATAAGTTAACTGCCGGGTTTCTTTTTGTACATTTACTTTACTGTTGTTTCCCACACAATTCACACAGATATAAACTATATAATACCTTAAAATTGGCCAAGAAATAGAAAGTTGAGTGAGGTATTGTTTTATGAACATAATTTTATTATTATTTTTGTTAGAAATGTATAACTATTAAAGTACCTAACAAATTTAACAGCAAAGCTACACTGATCTTTAAAAACATATTAAGTACCTTTCAACAAATATCTGGAGAAAGTGCAAACTTGATATGTACAGCTTGCATCATCAGTCAGTTTGTGTCATCAGTCTATGCTCAGCAGAGGAAAACACTTAACAGGTACAATCTACAATGACTGTCTTGTTTCCCAACATTGCTTGGAAGAGCAGAAGTGAAACATGCTAAAGTGCTTACACAAACTCGCTGCTTATGCAGCAAAGACTTGCCATAGGCAACTGTTAACCTGTTATGAAAAACATCAAGATCTGGGATTCAAAGATTTCAGATAGACATTACAGTTTTGGGTAGAGACACAATAATCTGGGATGAAGGGCTGCTAAGCATCTGTATGATTAATTGATTGATTGATTGATATGGACAGGCACTGTAATTAATCTATGAAATGCACACCAGAAATTTTTCTGGGAAGTTAACTTTTGCTGCCAGTATCTGGAGTGGCAGTGTCTCCTATTATGATTAGTGTTTGCAAATGTTGTCAAAAGGTTACAGCATTATCATTCAGGTAAACAAATTCTATCAGCACCATTTGCTTCATTGTTTTTAAGCCGTGTTATGACATAAAATACTTCTTCAAAATCAAATCTTCAATATTTGCTTCACATGTTAGTTACTAAGTTAGTATATCTTCCTGTGAATACGTATATAGTGGAGTTTCACAATTTAACAGTTCAGCAAAGTATTTCTTCCATCTGTTACATATTTCTGCATTATTATTCATCATGTTGTCATTGTGATCTTTTAAACTATATATGCCCTCATTTTACAGCCTTTCTTCTTTAAAAAAAAAAAAAACTTTCTGGATTCGTTATTGAAAACTGATTCACAGTGATTCTGATGGTTAGTTTCCATATTCATGACAATGTTGTTTATCTTCATGCAAATCTCATTTCTGACCAGATTGCCACATTACTAGGGATTTTAGTCAAAATTTTTATTTTAGGTTTTTTACTTTTAAACCAAGACAGATGAATAGAGGTTGAAAAACTGAGTCCAACGGTACCTCAATGAAGTCTGTATGTCAATTCTAAGCGGAGATATTGCCATTTCAGTGACGGAAAGTGCCCTCAAAAAATTATAATGGAAAACACAGAAACAAGATGGCGGCGTGTTCCCAAGTGAAAACTGGACCTAAATTTATCATGTTTAATGTCAATAACTCTCAAGTTTTTTGCTGAACCCCTTAGCAACCATAGTCATTGCTTTCAGGACAGCAAGCTCTAACTAAAGTTGTTGCCTTTTTAAAATATGATGTGATGCAAACCTAAATAACATAAAAATGAGTAAATTTATCAGTATTCATTAAATACCTTATGAATTAATTATTATTAATTATCCAGTGAGTCTTGCAAGACTTATACTGTAATATATATATATATACTTTTATATCTATTCTTCCTGTTATGATGCATCTTTTTCTATTTGTTGAAAAATGGTTTTTCTCGCACTCTCATTTGTGTGTGTGTGTATGTTTGTGTGTGTGCATACATCTGACCGAAATTTGCTTTATTCCACTGTTTAAAAAATATTTAATAGCGAGTGGATTGACTTCATTGCATCGTTACTGATTTTATATGGCTTTGTCTTTCTCCACAATACTGAACAAATAACGCATGCCGAGAGCTTAGCACAAAGCCTGGATACCGTAGCTCCAGCAACAGCCCTCAGAGGTCTCCGCTAACCAAAAAAAATGCATTTTCGAGTCGAACAATGCAGTTGTAAATGAACGTTACAACAATCTTCCGAGCGCGAGGTTAACGGCTTGACCACTTTGATACGGAGACCCCTATATTCCTATATTGTTTTATAACCAAGTGAAAATGAGCGCCCCTCTTACTGATTTAACATAATCCCTTTTCAATCTTTGCGAGTTTATTC